GAGAGCGTAAAGCGTCGGTCTGAGGCGCCGCGAAATGAGCGGACTCCTCGAGACGTCCTCGTCGAGAGGCAGCTGGAAACGCGGCTTCTTCAGGGGCCCGTTTGACTGTCGTTTCTCGCACATTCGCGGCTCCGTCTCCAAGGCGACTCGTCTCTTCTGGCCCCGGGCTCCGCTCGAAGGCCTCGCTCTTTCGCCCATCCTCGGCCCAAAGTCTGCCGCCTCGACCGGCCTCGAGCTGGCACAGTTGGCGGGTCTGCCGGGCGTCGAGTCGCTGCAGTGGCGATTGCACCTTCTCATCACCACCTGCCTTGGCCCGATCGTCGTCGGCCGGTCTCGAGCCGACGTCTTCTGGTCGCTTTTTCCATCACCGGCCTCGGTAGCCGTGTCAGCCGTGTCGACCTCGTCGGTGACGTCGATGTCGTCAGCCGCAATGTTGTTCGCAAAGTTGCGCTCCTTCTGCGCGTCGGCCAGCGAAAGTGCTTCAGCCGCGAGTCTGCCGAGATCGTCAAGTGGCGCGTGGGCAAATGGAACATTAAACGCACAAGAAAAGACCGAAAATCAGAGACTGTTTATTGGCGTGTAAAGGGGTTGACTTTAGCCAAAACGAGAGATGTCAGGCCACCTTTTCGGCGCTCGGAGCTACCCATCCATTTCTGGATAAGGCCCAACGGGGCCATTTCTCTCGACACCACCAACACAACCCGAAAAAATCTCTTTTTTCCTCTTTACATCGTTCAACTATCTACCCTCTCATCTGTACTCTAATCGCCTCGTTCCTGTCGCCTGACTACCTTCTCCTCTCTGGCTCATCTTTGCCCATTTTGGCTCGGTCTCTAACTCAGGAATTTCTGTGGCCGCATCGTTCCGATCTGTTGTCATCGCTGCCAGGTATCATGGCTGGCGTACTGTGCCTTTACACGGTCGTACGGATTTACCTTTGTCAACCGCTCTCATCGGTATGTAGGAAAACTGGTTTTCGAAGAATCCCTTAATAGATTAATGTTGGAGTAACTTTCATTTAATCTGATTAGACGAGTTAAAGGGTTTCGTAAGTTAGCACCCACGCAAGTTGAAAGACAATCATTGCCTTGAAACTGTGACTGTAGATTTGTGCAAAGGATCGTGCTCATCAAGGATTCATCGTGGTTGCAGGACAGTGGACCGACGACTCATTCGCGCAAATCTACAGTCAAAAATGCAAAGCACTCCCCGCAAAAGTTTCCCGTAAAGCCAATTTGAGAATCCCCTCGATTCGCCTCTTCAAACCAAATGGAAGTTACGCCAACATTACAGACATGTATGAGATGTATTCACCCTGTTTCGTTTAGGTTGATGAAGGACTGGTAGTTCAATTTTGCCACAATCATATGAATAGAACTGACCTTTTCATTGAATAGCACAAAAAAGTTGTTCTCATCCAGGCTGTAGTGGACTTCCGTTTCGACCTAGCCTACACCTTATCAACGCGCCCAGCGGGACTCGAACTATGACATTTCAGCGTGTAATCTCAACACGTGCTACATCTTATATTGCTGATTTACTGATTGTCTCAAAACCCTACTCATAAACGTACAATTACGGAAACGTTATTCGCCCCCGGTCGCTTAAGATCATGAAGAACTGATAATGCATTTTCCTACAATGCGATGATTGGGCCCCAGGATGCAATTGAATTTCCCTTATTTTTGCTTCGAAAAATAATTCCTGATTCAAGG